ATCAACAGAACTACTGTTTGAATAAGTTCTGCATCAGCCAGAAACACTTATTACATCAGATTACAGACCTACGCGAGACTGAACCGATATTATAAAACCGATACTAATCCAACATTTCAAATATATCCGTAGCATGAATTCAACCCCGAAGTAGCAGGAATTCAAGGGTAATGAAGTAAACGCAACACATTTCCTTTCTCATTCATTACTCTTCTCAGCTCTCTGCAACCAGAGAGAAGAAATTGTGTATGAAAACCATCTGTTTCCTTTAATTAAAAAAATAAGTACATAAATTGAAATCAAAACACAATTTACGGGGACTGTCATTTTGTCTGATTGAGAAAGACATGTTGAGGTTCCTATTTTCTAATAAAAACATAGCTGAGGATTATCTTGCGCTTAGCCTACAGTAGATTTCTTAAGTCAAGAAAAGGATGATATGAAAAAGGTTTTTTTTCCAGTAGCTCTTTTGACCTGGGTCCAAAGCAAAGCCTGCGAGTTATCCGTTCCTGAACCGTAACGGCACAGTACCTCTGACTCATTCTTGTGTTTGTTTTAAGACTTGGATTCTGCAGCGTGTGGTCAGGAGATGTGTTTTTTCATATGTCCACGCTGGAGGCTGTAAAACACCTACGCCTGCAGTCTGAGCGCCCAGGACCCACGCTGCCAGGACAGAAGGCTCAACCCCGGCTGGTCTGCAGGTGCTCCCAGAAGGAAAGACTGTTCACCCATGAGGGGAAGGGGTCGTGGGATGGAGATATGTGTGGGACAAACAGTGTCATGGTGCAGAGAATTACCTCGACTTGTTACCTGACTTTTACTACCTGAACATACAGTATCGGCTGCCGACAGTGTCTTATTTGACCAAAATGTGTGTAGTTTTGATTAGATACCTTGCAACAAGAGCGGAATTTATTTGCCATTTGTAGTAAAACCACATTGGAAAAACTGTGCAAGACTACCCCAGTGTGCACCAGGATAGGATACAAAAGATTGTATTTAATATGGGTTTGAATATTCTTTGTTTTATTGACATGTTTGGATTGAAACGGAAATGGACCAACGGCAAAGAAGGCTGAGTTCATTTTCTGTTTTAAATTCATATTACTAACATTTAGTTGTTTGGAGTAAAATATGTTTTTAATTGAGAAATTATTTTTAAAATGAGATAAATGCCATGGCAGCATATTGGCTGGACGGGAAGCCAGATATAGCTGATATTTCAAAAACTTAAGAAATTGGCCGAAAATATCTGTCTATCTATAATGTGTAGCAAAAAAATATTATTATATTATCATTATAATTATTTTATTATACTCTTCAAGCAAGCAATGGAGCAGGTAGTGGAAGTAGGGGTGGAAATAGACACAAATGGGAAAATGCCATAGTATTGCGAAATTTGGGCCACAATCTAAAATTATTGCGTTTCTTAACGTTTGTCATACAGCCAGTTATTTTCTTTTTGCGAGATATTGCGATTCACGTCCGTCATATTATTTAAAGACATTACAAAAACTGACGAAAATAAAATGTCGCGACAGTGAACAGTATCAATTATCCCCCAACCCACTGATACCAACAGGCACAAATAATTCTAAACTAAATCTTTTAGTTCTTTTCTTCTTCTGACCAACATGTTTATTTTTGTCTTGTGGCTAATGCTAATCCATTTCTAAACGTGCCTTAACTCAGCAGTACCTAAACCATTACCAACACTAGGGTCTTTAGAGCAAACAGAGGTGACGTCAGCCCCATAACCTCTCCTTCACACCCAGGCCCTTGTGTCTGCAGCAGGCCGCCCTCACAGCTCCAGACCTGGACATTCCTCAGACCCGTGCGAGGGCCGAGGGGGGCTGAGGTGAGGGGTGCGAGGCTTTTGGCCCGGAGATCAGGGGCCGACTGGAGTCCTGCCCGGCTGTGACCAGGGTGAGAATCCAACCGTCAAGGCGTTCCATTTCATAAACACACAGTAGAAGTCATCTCGGAGAATGTGTGTAACCGGTGCAAATGGCCAAGGAAAACAGAATTGAAAACTGAAAGTGCTTTTTACGGTTTCCTGCGTCTATAGAACAAAACATCCAGGTCTGGAAGCTCAAAGAGTAAGCATGTTTTTACAGATGTAAGCTCCATGCTGACTAAATAGGAATAGTGTTTCTCTCACCTTTACTTTATGCCTGGGTTCAGACTTTTTGAAGCTGGTCCAAAAATAGTTTTATATAGAGTACTTTGCAAACATGAGCAATACTGTCAGAATAACAATACCCTTGATTCCAGAAAACTCACACTTTTATAGAGCTGTTGTCATTTTATGTAAAAGCCAACCAAAAGATTTACATAAGAAAACAGAAAGAATTTGGAGATATAGATCAAATTATTATTTTTAAAGGAACAATATGTAAAAATCTGGCCAAAAGTGGTACTGCAGTCACAGTCAATATTTTGTAGTCCTCTCCCACTCTCCCTGACTCAGGTTGCCAGATTCACACCAAATCCAGCAGCAAACACAAGGAATTATTTTATCAGTTGTTTGTCCGTCTCCATTCACATTGCCATGACAGCCGTGCTAATGCTGAATGAATGTTTTGATTCATGTTTTTTTTTTATTATTATTTGGACATTTGAGATAAAAAACAAAAACAAAATAAAAGCAATGTAATTATACATAGTTTATGCAAAATAAATAAGCAATTGATGTCCAAAATAGGAGTGGGAAGAATGGATGTTGGAACGTATTTCTTCAGCGTATCAACATCAGGGTTTGCTCAAGAGGATATCACCTTTCAATTTTATTTATTCCCTATTTTTTAGACAAACATGTAAAAGTCCCACATCAAAAAGAGACTAACATTATTTTAATTGGGGTACATGTGGTCTTAAATGATTATTTTTACAATTAAGCTATAATCTGCAAAAAAAACGTCTTGACCTTCATCTTTTACCGTTTTTAGAGCAATCTGTCATAGAATGTGATAACATGCAATAAATACAAAAAGACATAGCCCGGAATCGAACCCGGGTTCCTGCATCGTAAGCGCACAGTTTTGACCACTAGACTTCACACAGTTAAAGTCACTGTGAAGAACGGACTCAAACTAGCAAATTCTGCATCACACGTGAACTTTTATCAGCTGTCTCAATTGTTCAAAGGCGTCCCGATATAAATCCTCGTTTTAGTCTTTGTTTTGTCATTAATGATTTGAGAGTCATAACAAGACCTTTTTTAGTTCTGCGCCACATGTTATTTTACCTCTGAGATTAATGAGCCGCGCGGAGTTCTGGCAACCCGATCACGGACTTACATGACACTTCCTGATTGGCGAAACGGCAGAGGGTAGGACATCAAAATCAAAACAATAACAACTTTTACGGGTCGTAAAACTAATTTTGATAATCAAATATCTCGGCTGAACTACTGTTATCAGTTAAAGATGAATTCGAAAAGAGTATGATTTAATAACGCCTTTTGAAATATTCGGGTCATTTAATGATGACTTGACATGCAAATATTACATATTGCTCCTTTAAGGGAGTAATTAATCAAGTTCACATTTTTATTAATAGCAATGTTGTTTTCTAGTTGCTTTAGTTATTTGCATAGAGTTACAATTGGGTACGATATAATTTGATTTTTTTTTAAGTTTTGAGAGCTTTTGTCTCCTTTTTAGTTGACAAAGCATTAATTTCCTCCACTATAGCCCTATTGTTTTCCTTAAACTAAAACTGAAATCTTTAAACTTAAACTTGCACTCAACAGGAGAGGATTTACATTCATAAATTCAAGCTGTCTTGTTCCACAATTTGCCTAAGCCTCAGGATGAGAACAGAGTTTTCCAGCGATAAAATGGCTCATTCATAGCAAAACCAACATCAAATATAGCAAAGGGGTATTTTTGTCTTTCAGGCCCGATTCAGCTCACTAAAGTTAGTCAACAAACATGACGTGGCGAGGAAACACTGGGCGGTATTCTTCCCCCTCACTCTCTGGGCAGATTGCTTTGGCTCAATGGCACTTTGTGTGAGTTGCAGTTTGTTGGTGTTCGTATGTGTTTGAGGGTAAAGGGGGATAAGACCGGGTCCTGTCCTGGACTTAGAGGGCAGGGCAGTGTCTCTCCCCTAAAGGTAAATTCATACAAGAGCAGCAGGAAACCCAGCCCTGGACTGTGGACTTTAGGAAGCAGTGAACATACATAAAAACATATAGAGGGTCACTTTTGTTTTCTTTACTTTTGACCTCCACTGCTGCTGCTGCTGCTACTGCTGCTGCTGCTGCTGCTGCTGCTGCTGCCTATGGGGTCAGCACTGCCTGCCAACCTTGACCAGGCCAGAGTTTGTTTTTAGAATAACAGCAATTATGGGACAGCAAATATTGGTCCAAATGGAAGGAAGTTTTTCTAGTTTGGGAGAAATATCTAAACCACATACATTTTTGTGGCTATTATCTCAGAGATTAATTCAAATTCAAAAATATTGTAGATATAGTGCACTTGTGAATTGATGTGGAATGAAAAGAAGACAAGTGAACGAAGATTATAAACACATTGGAAGCCTCAATAGACTGTGTTCATGTTTTAGAATCACAGTTCATTTGCAGTGCATGTGTCAATACAACTCTGTGGGAAAGAAGCCACTTTTAAAAGTGTTGAAAAAGAAAATTCCCAAATGTTTTCCCAGATCATGATTTGATAGTAATTATCTTCAAAAATCTGCCATATTATTTGTATGTCTAAAAGTCCTTTCTACGGGCCAATTTAAGGTATAGGTTTTTTGAATATAGTCACAACAACAAAAAATAATGAAGAACTCTGACTTTTGACACTTACCTTAGTTACCAGAAGCAATTTGTTCACCAGCCCTCTACCAAAATTTTAAAGTCAGCTCTTTGGAATGTTGTGATGACACACAAATACAACCTATTGTTTCATTTCACTGGATGACGCTTTCCAGTGATCTTTTGACCGCGCTTTCATCCTGCAATTACTAAATGAAGAAGAATCACTAACCTGTTTGAAGCAGGCCAACCCCACTGTCTGTCTGGTCAAAGTGCTTCTGGATGTCTTGCACCACGCCTGTGAACACAAGAGGATTATGAGTTATACTGACCACACAAACACTGTTTAATTAATACAGTCTTTACTTAGACATCCCATTGTGGGCATGAGATAGAGTGTGTTAAGAGCCTATCACTCATTCAGCCTCCCCAAAGTGCATGTACTGTCAGCTAAGTGTTCTTTGCTGGCACGGATGTGTTATAAATGGGTACCATGAAGTTGCAGCCGCTCTTCAAATGTACTGTAATTTTCTGGTGTTGTACATTAATAACTGGAAGCTAACAAAAGAGATTTCTGATAAGATTGAAAAAATACAAAAACAAATACTTATACTTTTATACTTTTTATACTTATACTTATATACTTTTTATCCTGCACTATTTAACTGTACAGTATATAACTGCACTACTACATATATATTTTTTGACTGGTATTGAAGCATTTTCAGCATCTACAGTTTGTTATGTTAGTTAAGAAACATAGCTACTACATATTTGTATATAGTGTATATATTGTGTGTGCTCCCTGTGTGCTCTTACTACTGTCCTATATGTGCGATGCAACACCGAAATTTCCCCACTGTGGGACGAATAAAGGAATTCTTATCTTCTTATCTTATCTTAAATGGTGGAGTGGCCCTCTCGTTTCACTTTCCTCTGTCTGAGAAGATGTGACCGAGGCCAAAAATACATGCATGTGAGAACGAGTGATCGAGCCAGTTAGGTGGATTTTATTACATAGTTAAATGCTTTTGTTGTTTGAAAGTTAAGTACAACCTGTCCCTTTGTTTACAATTATCATATTTGCCTGGGAATAGTTGATGTAATCCCCAAGAGAGATTAGAGCAAAACACTTTTTTGCAAAAAAGTAAACCACAAAACACCATTATTCTAGCATGGACCCAAATTTTGTTTTCATAACAGTGTGGTCACAACACTTTATAAACTGTATTTCATTACTAAGGATAATCACTCAACACCAATTTTGCAATATAAAAATAAAAAAAAATAAAAAATATACTGTATATTTGTATATTATCATGTATTGTGTCTTTTCTATTATGTTGTTTTCTTGTTCTTTGTTCTTGTTGCCATGGCTCAACATAAATTAATATTACAAAGAATGTCCAATACACACATAATTGATATTACAACATTGCTTTTCATACCACAACACTATGTTTTAGTAGTTAGTAGTAGTTTAGTGGTTCATCGAATCATTCAAAATATATATATCTTCTCAAATCAGCAACTAAGAATCAATTCATATCTGATTTTTGAGACTTTTGACCACCCCAGTGCATAAACGTTGATGTGCAGCCTTGATGGGACCAACAACTACAGCCCCTACGTGAAGAGGCTAATACTTTAGGCACTTGTCATTCACACAGTAGCTCCTACCGCGAGAAACCACAGACAACCTTTGAAGTAATCCTGCGCCGGCCTGAGCAAACCCCGGAGCAGCCCTGGAGGAATGAAGGCTATCCACATTGTGCGCATCTCTGTAATGCGTTTTAATGCGGTAAACAGCAGCTGGCTCGGCTCCAAAAGGTGCAATGCAGAAACACATGTGGACAGCTGGGTGTTCTGAGAAGTAAGACTAAATACAAGCCAATAAAGTTTTACAGCCAGTAAACATCAGAGTACGCAGTAGATTAGAGCTTGATAAATTTGGGTTAAATTATTCCTTTTATTGGAGGCATTGGTAAACATGACGCAGTAGATGAATTCAGTTCCTAACATTTCAAAGACTTTTTTAGTGAAGGAGAGAGGGGGGAACAGGAATAAAATATTTTGTGTGGATTTCAGAGGCAGCGCGGTGCAGACTTTCTGTGAAGTCGGTCTGTCTCGGGATTGCAACACATGATGAAAATTGAGAAGTGACACGGGGAGCGTTTTAAAAAGCTACAAGCAACATTAAAGCTGGGGTACCTACTTCTCCAACCCACAGAAACTAGAACTATAAACGATGTCATTAAATCCATGCAACTAGCTCCTGACTCTCAAAAAATATAGGCATGTATTTTTTAGCCTCTCTCCCATCTCTAGTCGGATTTTTCAGACAGAATTGTGAAAAGGAGAGGACCCCAGACAATCTCAAAGCGTCAAATGAGGCTCTTTCTTTTAAGTATGCAAAAGAGTTTTTCAGCTTTTTTTCTTTTATTGAATGTGCCCAGGTCTCATCTAAGAACTCAAGGAGACCGGGCTTTTGCGGTTACTGCTCCCAAACTGTGGAATAGTCTCCTCAGTTTTGGAATCCAGTCTAAAGACACATTTGTACGCCTTAGCTTTTTTTTTCTTCCAGTTTTACCGTTTTACTTTTTGCATGTATTTGTATGCATTTTATGTTGTTTTCTTCCCTTTTTATATCTTTCGTGCCTGTGGAGCACTTTGGGGAGCTGGTGTTGTTATGTAAATGCGCCATTCATATAAACCTCACATTGACGTTTATGTTAAGATGAAGTCAGGGTGTTGTGGTCTGATTTGTACACAACATTTTACAAGACTCTTTCTCTGTGTACAAAGTAAAAAACATGCATGGTTTGTTTGTGTTGTCTGTTTATCAAACTAAAATTAACTCTAACATTGGAAAACCCGACCCAAAATAACTGTAAAAGACCAAAACCAAAAGCCCTTCTGTCTTCACTGGGATTTAGTCTGGAAATACCATAAGACCAAATTATGCTGCTTGTCTATCTATGGTACTTTTCGCGTTTGTCAACAGAGATCCAAATCTAAATAAGACAGGTGCATTTTCGACAGGGGCCGTGAATTGAAGCATTGGTAAGATTCTTGTCATCTGAGACAAACACCTGCTTGTGTGACATACTCTGCTGCACACTTCCACGCTGTCAGTGCAAAGACATTATATTTCTGCTTCAGTCGAGCTCTACGGTGAATGGGTTCAGAAATGTTGCTTGGTAGTGATCTCTATTGCTCATACGTCAGGAGATCTGTAGTGATGAAAATAAAATCTAAGCCTCCGGGAATGAAATGTCTTCTTTGACCTTGCTTTATAAGTTATTCCCCTAAAGATAAATTCAATCTGTTTTGAAAAGCAAAAGGTTTAGGCGCAGTATTGATTGACCAAGATGCCTGCGAGCAATAGAAAACATGTCTATAATGCTTAACGCAAAATAGTTTTTAATTTAGCTAAGGTCCTTTCAAAAACTGATTGAATATAAAGCAGTAGATAGTACTTCACTCAGGTAGAATTTGTCTTTTGTTAAGGGTGGTAGCAATTTGTCATTCCAAGTAAGAATTAGTTTGTCTCTTCAAAAAAATAAAAAATAAACAGATATTGTTTTAAGACAACATTTATAACTAGGAAAAGATTAATTCAACCCAATACAAGCAATTTTACTCATGCTTTTATAAAAAAAAAAATCTGTGATATTATACAGTATACATTTCTCCATTGTGAGATCAATATAGTTTAGGATGCCAATCTTAGGATGCCAACTTTTTTTTTTTTACTTTGTCTAAAATAAAATAATCTGTCAGCAGGAAACAGTTAAACCATATAGAAGAAAAAAAGTTGTCTGTGCTGATGTATATGGACCAATCTATTTACAGCATTTGTGATTTCTCTATGAAAACCATATATGGAGTATGGACTATATGGTCTTTTCAGAACTAAAATAATCCAAACACTTTGTCAAAACCCCAAAATACTGTCACGTTTTTCCTGTACCGATTTATTCCTCTAAGTCTGTCCCTGGTTCTCTTGGTTTAATCCCCCTACCACGAGTCCTATTTTTTATTTTTTTTTACATCAAACAGATTGTAAAACAGTGCACAATTGTGGCTGTAGCACAATTATCCACAACAAGTCCACACACAGAGGCCTGCTGAGAGGGGGATTCCTCTGCCAGATGGTAGAACGTCCCTCCTGGACATTTATCTGCACCACACCCGTCTACTACACTACAGAGAGGACAAGGTTTAGGCAGGTGACAAGGAGAGTAACGCGTAACCAAAACAAAATGCAGATTTGCTTGTATGTTTTTCATGGCTTATTGGTATTAAACATGGTTTTCAAATGGCTATTGTCAGTTTGATAGAATTTGAATACATTTTAATATACAGAATTATATAGAAATTATCCAAAACGCCTTAATAATATTTTTTGTCTCATAAAGTCCACCATGTCTCTTGTGTATGTGTTGTGTTGCTGTGGCATAATGCAGTAACGGGAGATCCATTAAAGCCAGTGTATTGTCACAGTGGATTGGGGAGCAGTGGGCTGTGTAATGAAGTCTGCTAATCTGTCAAGGATTACAGAGCTGGCAGCATTATGTTTGTGTACTCATTATATGATCTCTCAAATAGGGCTTTTTAACACCAGACGACAGCCAGCTCTACCTTTTGTTATCGGTACTAACAAGGCTGTATCTCTCTATCGACATGCATGGTCTTTAATTAACACAAGATTCATGTTTTGGACTTTAGGGCAATTTGTGTCTCCTACTGATGCAGTCAAAGTTGCTCACCTGCGTTGCTATGGATACCACTCAACGGGCCGAATCCAAAAAAGGTCAGACCACAAAGGAACGCGTGCCTCCCCCAAAAATAAATTTCTCAACCACGTTTTCAAGCAAACTATTGATTTACACCAAACATCTGTCTGCCAGGATTTTGCAACAGACTTTTCAACATTTATTTTGGATAAAGCTCATAAATAATCCAAGCACTGATAATTTGGGATAGGAAAATAACACTGACACCTTGTAAAGTGGTCTGTACCGTCATGGGATGCGACAGAGGGCACGAGGCCTTCACATGCAGGTAATTGGACATTGTTAATGAGCTTTGCCGTCTCAAAGGTTTTCGGAGTGCATCTGAGCAGCCAGAAACATTATAGGAATGTGGCCGGTTGGCTTCTATCATCATTCCTAGGAACTGCAGTTAAGAAGACACTCCTTGGCATCGCAGCATTTCTCTGCAGACTTTTAGAGCAGTTTGTGATTTCAAATTAGAGGAAATGATTATGGATAATAATTGTGCCACTGGGGATAATAAATCTAATGTCTGTGTGTGCTTTGAGTTCCAGACATTTGGATAATATGTTTAACACAATTTATCAGCAAGTTATTGAAAAGGCACATTCACATTTCATTGAGTATGTTCACAAAGTATAAGAATACGCTTTGCAGTCTGCTGACCGCTCTTTACCAGATTGATGGAGTCTTGTGATGCTTTCAATTGTGTCTCGTAACTTTGACTTTGCCTCTGATCTTTGGAACACTAATTGAAAATTTTAATTTCCATAAGATATACTGTATACACACACTTTTGGTAATCATGCTACATCTTGTTTACTTTGGGCATCTGATTTTCCGTTTACATTTAACAGACTCAACAGCAGCTACGCAAGTCAATACATTTCCACAGTGCAATTAAATGCATCATGTTTCCTGCCATTGAGTCATGTAACAAAACCTAAACAGAACAATGAAACATGTGCTGCAACACATACATTACATTTCTAATAATATTATGAGCATTTTTCCCTGTGCACTTAAATACACCCGCTGGCCTTGTCTCAGTAGTATCCGATTTATGTGGTTATGTGCCAACCGAGAATAAATGGTTCGATTCAGTTAAGATTTAGATTAAGAGATCCTTTATTCGTCCCACAGTGGGGAAATTTCAGTCTTGCATCACAAATTATAGAACAGTAGGAAAGAGGAGCACACAGCACAGTTAAGTGAACAATAGCTATACTAATTAAAATAAAACAAAAACTCTAACTCTAGCATCAAATAAATAAAAGTATAAAATCTCTATCTTGAAAATAATAATAAAAGAGGTGTAAAAGTTAAGCTAAATGAACTAGTTTTTCCCCTTAAAGTGTGATTTTAATTGTGTTAAGCCCTTCATTGCAATTTAGTCTTGGTTGTAAATGTTGTACTGTTTCACATGTTTTTTTGTGTACTCTTACCCCTGTAAAATAATTAAATAATGGAACAGCCCAAGTTTACATGTGTCATTGAACTATAAGCAAGTTATCTGGTTTTCACTTATATTATACTCATTCATACATTCATACAGTCAGAACAATAAACAATTGAATGAATGGTACACACATTGCTTTTCACATAGGCACCACATCTCACATGGAAAGTATCATGGTGCTTAATCTGGTGCAGCCATCTTTTTAATGCAACTGCACATAGTCCTTAATAAATTCAACTTTAAACATACTGCAGACCTAATAAGTCAAAGGGGTTTAGTATTATGTGCGTGCTACAAAACAGATTGCTGCCACCTGAGCAAGCACAGCTAAGTCCAAACCTCTGTGTTGCCACCAGCCTCTCATAAAGTCACCTTTATGGGCCCCTTTTTCAACAAGAAGAAATGACTCAATTTGGTGACCAGACCACAAGCGCTGCATTTAGTATGTGTGAATGGTGATCTATCACTGTGGAATACTCATTTAACCAGCAGGCAATAAAAAGCTTCAAGTTTTCATGTAAATCACAGCTATGTTTGATCTACACAGGTATAGTAATAAAAAGACTACAGTTGCCATTAATATGTTGGTTTTGATTTCAGAGCCGCTCACAGCATCTCCAGCTAAAGCCGAATTCAATCAGCTCAAAAATGAGAGTCATCGAAGTATCCCCGAAAGGCACTTGACAGATCTTCAACTTCTATTTTTGTATGTTGAATCTAGGCTAAAAGGAACAGTCCATTTGGAGGAGTCACGAAGGGAATACATTGATATGGGTAAACCTTATGTTTCACAACATACAATATTAGTGGTCTGGTCTAGTATTTTTGGGTGACTTGTCGCAATTTAAAATTCTTAATCTGTCCACTCCATTTTTGTAAATCTTCTAGTTGATTATCTGTTTGTGGTCATAAGCTCTGGAACACACATAATAGAGTGTATGTGTATGTGTGTTTGCCTGGCCCCGGGTTTGCTTGTGTGGATGGAAGTCATTCATTCTAGCCTGAGTGAGTTAGGCAGCGGTGAACCACTTTGCTGATGTGGCCTCTGCTCTCGCAAAGGGAGGCGACCCCAGCTCTTGTATCTACTGGTATAAATAGTCTGGGAAAGGAAGAAAAGAGGTTTTTGTAATGAGTGAGGAGAAAGTGCGTCCTTTTGGGCTTGTTCTTATGCGTGAGAGAGAGACTCAAAGAGGCATGAGCGGAGTAGAAGTTTGGGTTGGAGAGCTGGAGCTTAGTCTGCAGCGAAGAGAGTTGACCACAAATATGTCCGACTGCGGCCGGCGGGGCCCTGACCGACGCTCTCCTCCCAGTGCCATGTGGCCGTGCTCTGGGCGGGAGAGGGATTTTTCCATCCTGCTTCCTCTGCTCACAGAGCTGAAGGAAACGCACTGCAGATGTGGGGGAAATGGAGAAGAGCACAGGAGCGCGGCGAGGTGGGAGTCCACAGAAGTGCACATCGAGTGCATGTCAACAATAGAATGAAGGAATCACTCCCATGCGGCAGCTCACGGGTAAATCCATCTGACCAAGCAATCAGGACCAATCAATGACCAGCAGGCATGGAGAACCTCAGAGTAATCCTGGCTCCTTCAGAATAGTGTTATTTTCAAATTATGAACAGTTTTATTTCTAGTCTCAATCTATAACTGCATATATACTCCTTTTGTAATACTCAGTTAATTGCTAATACTAAACAATAGCTGACTGAAAGCATTTAAAGGTATGAAGTCACTCAAAAATCAATAATCAATTTTCCAGCTCACTGAATAATTAGCTTTCGTATGTTGAATTGTAATATTTGTTTAGTTTGAAGCGGCAAAATGTTAATGTTAAAAGTACCAAAGTGATCATTGACCTCAACCTCAGGCTCAGGTGTAAATTTGCATCTTCTGCTATAGCCAGGTTAAATGTATCTCTCTTGCTGCTTACTGTGCACTGTCCCTGAGCAAATAAAATTCATACCATGCCACAATAAATGATCATGATCTAAAGTCTCATTGTTGCGGTTTTGTTGAGTTTTTGTGACTGACTAAAGAGATTCTTGTCATATCAGCTCCCATCACACACTGTTAGTCCAGACAGCTTTCTTTTGTTCATCTTACAAATTGATGACTTCCAAATTGGAAACTATGAATCTAATTAGGCCTTGTGCATTTGCCAGACTTGCCGTCCCACTTTGATTCAATGTGATCTGTTCTCCTTTTATAAATCAAACATTCATATTCATCTTCGGGGCGTGCTGCCGTAGTACCAGCCAGTACGTGCTAAATATTTGATCACTCCAGACTCTGCATAAAGGGAGCATGCGAGGGGCAGACTAAACCTATAGCTTATCAATAATGCATTTGGGGCTGGCACACTAAAGACATTATTGTGAGGAGGGGTGCAGTGGAGCGGAGTAAAGGTATTTGCGATTAAACGAGACAGACGGACTATCGGGGGATTTGCGTTTGAGCATGGGTATCTCTGAGGAATACTGAACGGCGCCTGAACCCGAGAGCGAACCTGCGGAGGAGGGAGCAGAATTATGAAATCAAGTCAATCTGACCCAAGAGAAGTGCTCAAAGTGTATACAGTTTATTCAATTATGAGACATTTTGTTCTATTTGTCAGCCCCGAAATATACAAGATGTGTGATGTGTTAGGGAGATGTATACAGGGACAGTGGGTGCAGTACTGGGTTAAAAATGCAGGTGTAAGCAACTTTCTGATGACAATTTATATCATTTTCTTATCTCTTCAGTACGCAATGAGCCCTAATGACTCCACAATGCACTTTTTGATTAATTAAAGTGGTAGCTCTCTTGCTCACTATCCCCGCTTTTATACATTATTTGATACTCGGGCTGTCTCTGTGTCTGTGTGTTTCTATGGTTTTGAATACATGCAAATCTCAAGGTCTCAATGAGAAACCAATGGGAAACACCTACATAATGCGTGAGCGAAGATCCTGTGGGACCTTTGGACACAGATTGACAAAATGCTAACAGTCATGTGTTAATTGCTACAAGAACATTGTCAATTTTTAACCACTAAAATCAATGGATTTCAGAGCCTGTGAGGTCAGATACTTGCTCATCTTTCCGGTTCTTTCCTGAAATGAAGAACTGTTTGCTGCTCTTTATTAAAGTACATGTTTTTGTTGTCCTCTATATCTTTTACAGTTTCAGGGCCCCGCCCCTTGTCTGTTTCCAATCACATTTCTGACAGTGCCTAAAGGGATAAGTAACATTTCTGATTTGAAGGCTTGAGGACAAAAAGACCACAATTACAGAACTTTACTCTTATACATTATATTATATGGGAAAATGTATAAAATATTAACATTTGATTTTTGCTAAACTAGACTAAATCTTCCAGCGGCCATTGCTCTGCCGGTTTACATAACAGTGTGAAGGATTAAGCCATCATGTAGTGTTTTTAATGAGATCTCTCCTCTAAGCTCACATACGTCAATAGGGAAATCCACAATTATTCAAACCCTTTCAATCGCCGCAGAGACTATAATCTTTTACAACTATCTTCATTTACACAGCACATTTTTGCCCTCGACAATATTTATGCACTGATGTTTGGTTTATTTTCTCCTTCAGTATACATAAACTGCATATTTCTGGATGTTCTGTTCCCTCCACCTGCTCGCCTGACTGGCTCAGGACCTTTTTCACTTGTTTGACGGCAGAACATCTACAGCTCGTCACACCGCCGTCTAGACTTATGAAGCAACGTCTCTGAAAGCTGCTGAAAGACGGCCCCTGAGACGTGATGAAAAGAGGCGAGAATTGGTGAAGATTTACGCGTTCAGCTTAATTTAGCGTCAAACGGCCGCGGAAAAGCCATCCGTCTATGTCTATCTGCATGTGTTATCACCATGGACTGGAGAGCAGTTCAGGACTAAATGTTACTATTTTAAAAGCCGATTGTATTTATTAGTGTAAGAATGTAGATCGAGGAAGGGCACATGTCTGTTAGGAAAAATCTATATTTTTATCTAATTTATTTTGTATTTAACTTTATGCCAATACTAATTCCTCAGTCAAATCTCACTAGGGGCTATAAACAGTATATATTGGTGGCATAAAAAGGTGGAAAAATGTGGTACCAAATGTGAAATGTCGTGACTAAAAAGAATGCTCCAATAAAATATTATTTAAAAAGAAAAAAATACTGTTTGCATTCATTAGAATAGTCGTTATCTTCATCTCGCAAAGCTTCAAGACAAAATGTCAAGACATTCATGATTTATTCTTTTACTTACTGTAGCTGCCTGCTGTAATTAACCAACCTGTCACAGAAGAATATATTGTATGTTGAAATAGATATAGCTTTAATGTCAGACTAAAAGGAAATGTGTCCTTTGCATTTGACCCACTATAGGGCGGTCTGTCCACTGCTCCTGGTCGCTATATGCTCGGCCTGGAAGGACTATCTTCACTGGAGGATTTTACCTTTAGTGTATGGTTCTGGTGGGGGAAACCAGAGCGCCCAGAGGAAACCCACCCAGACACTTGGAAAAACACTATCTCCACACAAGAACAGACGCACTACCCACTCAGATGGGGTCCGATACCAGCTTGTTGCCATGGATATGATATTTCTCTGCTTGTGATGTTCCTCAAATAAACTTTGTTATTTGGAATAGGTTTCCTCAAATAAAACTTTGTTATTTGAGGAAACCTATTTAATTTCACTGAGTTTTTACATGAGGCCAGCTCTCCTCTCCACAGATATGACCTTTAGAATAGCCTATATAGTCACAATGTAAAAGTGTAATGGCATACTGGGACCATCTGAGGTAGATAGACCCAAGAAATCATTCATGTGTGATGTCAGTAATATGATGGAGATGCAAATTATTTTCACTAATTGTTTTGTATTTGACTGGATCGATGAGAACAATCCTGGCACAGTCCCGTTACATTATAGTAAAAAATTAGCATCAGTAAAACATTAAGACAGTAAAACATTGTAACAAAGAGATCCAGCATCTGTCAGAGTGCATTTATCCTCCCACGCATCAGCCAACACAGCCCTTTATAAGTGCTTTTTGTTCCTGTGCTAATGGGAAATGATGAACGACACCCCAAGCCAACATCACATCATAACCCACATGCCATACTTCAATTGGCGAGATAAAAGGAACGTTTTTGTGCAAAAGTATTCATTTAGAACATCCATGTTTTCAGGCTCCATATGAACCCTTCAGGAAAAATACTTCTCCATCCAAGGTGACCAGACATGACCAGAATCCATGTCTGTCCTTCTCTCTACACGTCCTCATACACAAACGACAATATGGGTCGATACACAAACGACAATATGGGTCGATTGTCACAACTCTGAAATCGGTCTATTTGGGCGTTTTTTTTGCCTGGTTGGGCAGCTTCGCTTATTTTTCAGTGTATGGTCACGCGACGCAGCAAACCCAGGGACGCGTTTACAAACAGCATCACATTCTGTCAGAACTGCAAACAATTCATCTGCGCAAGTGTCATATTGCGCAATGCGCATTACAATGCACACACCAGCCGCCATCCTGTTCTATCCTCCTAACAGTCTCCAACACTCACAATAGTTAGGGTTAGGGTTAGGGTTAGGGTTAGGGTTAGGGTTAGGGTTAGGGTTAGGGTTAGGGTTAGGGTTAGGGTTAGGGTTAGGGTTAGGGTTAGGGTTAGGGTTAGGGTTATTGTTTCTGGTAAATATATAATCTGTTCTTAAAATATGCTATAACGAAACATTTAGGTAACGGTACAAATGTATTTACCTCCGTAGAAACAACAACTTCCTTGTTTACCACTTGATGGACGTACGTAAGGAAACGTCATGCGTCACACGTGTGCTCCACCCAAGATTAGGCCGACAGCTTTTCAATACAAACCACTAGGAGTCGCATACGTAAAATAGAGTCGTTTTTGGGAACTGTAGAATCGACCTCTATGGTCGTTTTTCCAGGAGGACGGTCTGCCTTCTCTCAATGTCATCATTAACTGTGGCGGATGGCAGTTTCCTCTGTATCTTCATTCCAATAAGGACATTTTTAGGTTAACACTAGAACTCCCAGAGCAGTCAATTTGACGGCTTTTAGTTTTGGAAATGTTGAATTACTCAGCGATGTGCATGTTTGGTCTTCCTAACTTATTCTGTCTCTATTCTATACTGTAAATGTCTCTATATGTAGTTTTTTACTATGCCATGCTATTTTTTATTTCAGACGTGAACAGTTAGTTATTATAGTTACCATAGCAACACACCTTGTTGCACTGCTCTTAGTAAAAGTGAGGTTAAAAAAAAACATGGTGGAAAATGTAGCTTTTTGGGGAGAAATTCTCGCAACTCCATCGGTTTGAATGAGAGCAGTCAATATGAAGACTCTGAGAGCACTAGGAGTTTCATAATTCTGGGAGTCCTTGTGTTAATAGACCAAAATATGATAAAACAATCAAACAAATATAAATAATTAAAAATATGCAGTTGTGGCTTAA